GACAAAATACATCTGCTTCTAGGAGAAAGGTAAAAAGTTTACAGTAATGAAGACTATAGGCCTTCATCCTGAAGGCTATGAGCCTTCCTCCCCACGACCACCCGAAGACCACCAGAGGGATGTAGGGCGCATGCCCAAATAGGAGGAGTTGTATGCTAATTATTTTTGGAGGAATCCCTGCTTCTTATTAATGAGTTCTCTGATATCTTGTGAATATGTATGAATAGGTAGCATATAAACAGTCACTTTGTAACGAAAAACCAGAGTCCTCCCAAGGAATGATCCTGGGGACTCCCCGCGTGTAATAAAGAATACCTGCTTTCTAAAACTCAAATAGGAGTCTTTGAGAGTAAACTTATTTTCCAGCTTTCTTGGAATCACTACTGACCCCTCGGGGACCCAACTGGACTCTGTCCCATTGGTCACAACTCTCTGACTTCTTTCCTTCAACCAGTTCACATTCCTTATAAAGGAATGCACATTACCACTTCTCATATGCAAGTAAAAATGCCATTCCTTTAAGACCAAAAGGGAGTAGAACCCAGAAAAAAACCCAATTGTTTTAATGCCACCAGTAATAGTACCCACAGTATTTTTGGCCAGCTCCAGAACTGAGTGTCTTTACTGAAAGCAATCTAAGGAAACCTATAAAAGCACATCTTGATTCCACAGTCTGGTGCCAGTATCAGTAACTGGCCAAGCATTACTACTGCTTTTTCACAGCATTTTTAACTCCTGTGACATAATTCTCACTCCTCAGAACCCCATGAAGTTTTTACTCAGTTGTGCCTTCTGCTTTCAAAAAGTATTCAGGAGCAACAGTGCCATGACGGAGTCATAAGTACCAATGATGACTGCAGTCTGTATTCAGCTTAGTATAGACAGCTTATAATGGCTTAGCGCTGCAGCACTGGACTGGGCAACACCATTCCTTCCTAGTGAGCTTGTCTGCTTCATCTGAAGTGGCACATACTGGCTGTTCAAGCAAGTACGGATTTAGCAGAACAAATTTTTATTTGATCCCTCCAAGGAAAAAGGACTTATATAACTTGAAGTAATGGATGTTCTTCTCTGAATCAAAAGATACACTACTGATAAGAGGTAATTCTGACCAGTAAGCTTTAAGTCTCAGGAGTCTTTGGCATTCCAAAATGGCAAGCACTCAGACTTTCTCCTCATTTTCCTCTCTCCCTGAAGAAAGGGGGCTGATGAAGTCATAGGTAGAAACTGAAAACTAAAGAAACTGAAGATGCATTTCAAATGACTCAAAAGAGCAAGAGCAGCATGGTCACACACACCAAAGCTTCTTAGATATAGTCTCCTTTTCACTGGTACTCTAAGTAGCAGAGTATCAGTCACTTTGTTCCTAGTAAGAACTCTTGTGTAGCCAAATACTGGAAAAAAATAAGATTCTAAAATAAAAATAATAAACAATGAAATTGCATAAAGGCCAACTGAATTAAAAGCAGAGCCCTGCTCTCTCTTTTATTATTGTAGCTACATGCTACTGAGAAAGAACACCTCCACTAGTGTCAAAACCCTATTCTACCATTCACGAGAGTGCAATTTAGTATTGCTAAGTGTAAATCTGGTTATAGCAGCCAAAAAAGTCAGCCAGAATGAGGAAAAAACCCAACCAAAAAAACCCCAAAACCAAGTAAAACAAAACACCAAACCACACCACCACACTGAATTCAGACTTGGGGAAATAAAAATGAGAAGGTTTTGTCTTGACTTAATTGGGAATTTTAGGGGAGGAAGCCTTACTGACTTACTAGAGCAGTAAAGTAGTCCAAGACCTATGCCACCACACAACTTTCTGTTAAGCTGTACCTGCAGGGTATAGACAGAGGGAGAAGTGGTCAAAACTGCCAGTGTGTAGCACCATATACACCACAAGTGTTGGTGAGTATTATGTATTTGTGCTTCCCAGTACTCATGTAGTAGTTTGAACAGTATTCTGAATTACTCAGTTTGATAACACAGCCTCATTTTACTCACTCAGTTAATTCTTGTATTCCAACTGCTATTCATATAACATTGTCACATTTTAATATATAACATTCACCTTTGATATTTTCAGAGAGCGACAAAACTTCTGTCCAAGTAATTTCTTTAGATAGATTAGTGACTCTAAATCCTAGTTAATTTGCTGCCAGATGCTGTCTAAGCAGCTTCCATTGGGAAGCTCATAATTTGCTGTCCCTATACACTTGACTTAGTGCTAAGAAACTTCTTGTCTGCCCTTCTCTCCCCCCACCCCAAGATATAAATACTAAAGAGAGATTACATTCCTTCTAGATGTTCTCAAAGTGCAACGATATACTGTGTTCATTAAATAGCTTGGGATCTTGTAGTGAATCATACTCTCATTACACTGAACCATGCATTTCTTACTAAGGTTTCTTCTGCTCTTGATAAAATCGTATCACTTACTTAACTGCAGGATCAGGAGGTGGTACATAAAAATGGCATCAGAGAAGAAAAGTTTGTGGAAATCTGATGGAGAAGCTGAAAGTAGAAGTGAAACCAGAGTTAGTTCTTTAACCTTCTTGTGTTTTTGCGAGCCTGTAGAGATGTACATATTCTAGCATTCTGATTGACCTATGGTCATTTATTAGTTAGAATGCAGAAACTTTTGTAACTAACAAGCAAGCTAATTGTTGGTCATCAGTTCAACACCCTTCCCGCATTGTCCACAGCTTAGTTTTATTTAAACAGTGTCATGAGGAGCAGAGCTATTGCTACTTATTATTGAATAAGTATGCAACACTCAGCATCAGCAGAACATTTCCAGCTTTGTTTTTGTGTCTTACAGATGCTCTTAAACTTAGGCAGTTGTGTCAAATTATTTTCCGTGACTCACATGAATCAGTTAGGCAGTGATTAATTTCAGTCTAGCCACTGTGTTTCAAGGTCATTTATATATTCAGATACACTGAATGTTTTGAAATACTCTCAGTCCTGCTTCTGACATTGTAGTGAACCATACCAGTTTAAGCCAAAAGTGTTATATTTAAGGTTACTTAAAAGACCAACATAAAAAAAGAAGTTGGTTCTGTTTCTGCTAGGAAGCTCGTGAAGGTATCTCTCTACTGTATTCTGAAATCATTCAGAATCCTGAGATTATTCAGAATTAGGATCTTTCCTTTTTAGCTCTTTGAAGAGTCAGCCAGTCTTCATTAATAATAATGGATCAGAAATCTTCACATGCAGCAATGACACTAGTAATGATTTTTATAATTTTGTATTTGTACATATCAAATTCATATCACTAGTTAAAACACACAGGATGGCAGCTTTATTTCTGAATAAGGCTTAATTTTAAGAATGAAATTGACAGAGCAGTTTTGCTTTAGAAAAAATCTCACTCTGACATTTAAAGTTGCCAATATCACAAGAGTAATAGGGCAAAATATATAGCCATGCTCATAATCGTTATATCACAATCTGTGAATGAATAAACGCTACCCTCATCCCGATCACTTAGTTCTTTTAGCAGTCTAGGAAGTTATGCACTAAGGAAGAGAGGATGAAAAGTTATGGTGAAACAAATGCTCACCTTCATCTGCAGGTGAGCTACAAAAACCTCATTGCTTCACATATGCACTCTATGTCATACAAACCCTCTTTAGAGAAAATATGACTGTTTGAGGACACACTCTAGTTCTTAACAGCACTGCAGTAGCCCTAAAGTGATGTATGTCTGGGTAATGTGGGTGTGTGTCCATTTGCTGTCTGTAAACCATTAGAATCTGAAACTGATATTACAGTCTTGCGACAGAATTGAAAATTTACTGAGAACCAAATGATGATTGTGATATGGTTTTATTATCAAGTGAGGCAATGTGAGAGGGAAATCTTCCACTGAGGAACTGATTTGGCACCAAAGATGATATCAAATGCCAGAAGTCTGCTTCGCTTTCCTTCTTTTTCTTGTACTGTATGTTCTTGTCAACTCTCTGTACTATCAGGTTGACTTGAGATAGGAGGCAACAAGACTCTGATCTTTTTTGATGGCTGAAGCGTATGGCTGAAACTTACCCCAGAATCTATGGAGACTGAAGTGTGTCTTACTCAGCTCTTAGGCCATCTGCCTGTAATCTTGGTGTTACAGCAAGAACTCCATTCAGACCTATATTACTGTCTTCTGACAGTGTAGCTGTTGTTGAACACCGTGGGTTCCATAAATATCCTTGTGCAGTCCTATCAGATTTTTTTTTTTCAAATTAAGATTTTGACTATGATGTGGTTTGAGTGATTGGTTGTTTTGTTTTTTAATTCGTCAGTATCAGATTCTGTGCTGTTTTTCTAGCTCAAGTGGTTGGTGTTTGTTTAGCACTAAGCCCATCTTTGTGATTTCTGCTTGTCACCTCTCAGTATGGTGATAATTGATTCTGCTTTTTGCTTTTAATCTTTTTCTTGCTTCATGAATTCTTTTTATTTGTCAGAGATGCAACTTTCATTATGAATCCCTTGGAATCTTTGTTGCAAGTCTGTGCAGTGGACAGTACAAGGTAGTCTTTCTGTTATCTTGGCTAAAGGAATGGATTTAAGGTATTGTGGAGTGTTGCATACCATAGGATACTTAATGAAGAAAAAAATGGTGCTGAAGTTTCACCTTACTGTGACCTTGATTTTTATCTAAACCACCTGGGTAATTTGCCCATTTCTAACACAAGGAACTTAATAGTATCTCTGTCTGGTTAAGTTGAAGCTGTTGCCTTGTCCTTTTTGTGATTGTAGCCAGGCATTCTAAAGGATTAATGTTTTTCCTTAACGCACTGTTTGATGTTTTCATTCTAGAATTTATACTCATAGTGGCCAATGTGCCGTATTCTTATCGGACTTTGGTTGGTACTCTGACATCTTTCACCCCAGGAAGATACTGCTGGCTGATACAGAATGAGTAACTATTGTATTCTGTGTCTAACTATGGCTGTTGCTGCTTATGGTTTGTTTTGGCTTGCAAGGGTTTTAGATCATATAGAAATTGAAGGAAGACTCCTTTGGCTTCCTTCCTCACCAGACATAACTTCAAATCTTAATAATCATATATGGAGGACTGGATTTCTTGAAGGTGTGTGCTCCTATCAGTGGATTACAATTATGTAAAGCAATCACTATTTGTGTAGGAGTTGAGGTGGAGATTTTACTTTTAATTCAGAGTATTTCAGGTAAACCTGAGATTGATCAAGAGTGCATGTGAGAACTTCTTTCTTTAGGTGATTCTCCACCTGATCTTTATTAGTGATATCTTCAAAACTTTAAAAGAAATTACAAAATTACTTGATTGGCTTGCCAAGTAACAGTAGTAATAATACCTGTCACATCTCACAACCAAGGTCTGTGACTTAAGAAAAGTTTGTCCACCTATCTGATGTTTAATATTTCTATTTAAAATAATAAACCTTTTCTTCCTTCCTTCTGTTGTCCCTTGAAATGCAGTGCTGTGCAAGTGAAACAACTTTTATATTTTTAGAAGTCAGTGGGTATTTAGAACCTATAATGTAGGTAAAGTTACAGAATTGTTTCAAATACATATGGTTTATGAAGTTACTGAATTCTGTGTGAAGGATGTATTTGTTTTTAAATCAATACCTTTATAATTATGGAGCGTGTAAAACAGTGCTTATGTAGGAGAACTGAAATACAAACTTAAAAACAATATTAAGAGGTATCTCATGGCAGTCTGGTTTTGGCACTCAAAATCAGTTGATTAAAATCAATTTTAGTTTTTGATCAGCCAAACAAAACCCTTCTTCTGAAAAGCACTCTTTCTGTTCTAACTGGCACAGATTACAATAGAAAGTATCTTTAATGTGTGTCAGTCAGACATCCCAGGTGTACAGAGAGTCTTGATGGTGTGATGCAGTAACTTTAGTTTGAAAATACTTTCAAATATGAAGTTGTATCTCCTGTGGTGCTTATCCTTATTTCTGTTGGATGTTAATAGCTTTGAAGGCCTGGAATAGATCCATATGTAAAATAAATCTTTGAGCAAGGTAACTTTGAGCATCCTTATTTCTTGCCCAAATCAGGGCTTCATACAAAATAATTCCAACAGGTGGCTAAAATTTTAATTAAAATTAGCTTCCTGTGCTGATTAGGGTTGCTGTAAACTGGACACTTAAATTTCCTTATACTATAAACTAATCCTTTCTATCTAGAACATCCAGATCTTACTTTCTGCATATTTCAGAAGTAATACAAATTACTCATGGTCTTGGTTGAAAAAATCAAACATGAGTGTGCTCCAATATAAATGAAAATTCTAGGCTGTTCTTTTTCTATTCTTCCTCTTGTCCCAGTAATTTAGAGAAATTTGCAGGCAAAAAGCTCAGTGAAAAGAACTCAGACCATTGCCTAAACTTAAATTTTTACTAGTTTCAGGTCAATTCTGGTTACTTTTTTCTTAAGGTTCGCACTATATAACATCTACCTGCTAATATTTTTTAAAGATATTTTATTTTCCTTTTGTCATGTGTTGGAGCTGGACTGGCCACTAAAGGATGGACAGACACTCTCTATTAACCCCTCTCAGCTCCCCAGAAGGGGAAGAAAAAAGAGAATAAAGGAGAGAGACTTATGGGTTGGGAAAGAAAACTAAAAACCAATTTAACAAAACAATAACAATAATATGAAAAGATAATAACGTTAATATGAAAAGAATGAAATATATACAAAACCAATACAAAATCCTGCCCCCCCCCAGTAGCGATGACGGCAGCAGAGGCTCTGCAAAGCAGGGCACTGGGAAGGTTCTAGACCAGACCCAGCAGCAGGTGGGAACAGGATGCAGGAACTGGATTCCTGAACACACGGATCAGGATTGAGGCAGGTTAGCCAGCAGGGCTAGCTCAGGCATTGGCCATCCCAGAAGAAGGAAAGAGGAAGAATCACAGAATGTTAGGAGTTGGAAGGAACCTCTGAAAATCATCCAATCCAACCCCCCTGCCAGAGCAGGATCACCTAGACTGGGTCACACAGGAACGTGTCCAGGTGGGTTTTGAATGTCTCCGGAGAAGGAGACTCCACAACCTCTCTGGGCAGCCTGGTCCAGTGCTCTGTCACCCTCACACTGAAAAAGTCTTTCCTTGTGTTCACATGAAACCTCCTATGCTCCAGCTTGCACCCATTGCCCCTTGTCTTATCAGTGGACATTACTGTCCTGGTGAGGACATCACCTCCTTTCAGGTAGTTGTAGAGGGCAACTCTCAAGTCTCCTTCATCAAGCACTGTCAGTTCTAGAAATGAACGCTGTCTGGAAAAACATGCCATTAGTTTCAGAAAGTACAGTCACTTAGGAGACCTAGCTGAAAAAGTAAAATCAATGAATAGAGAATTAGTTCTATTTAGCTCAAACCAGGACACCTTCTCACTCTAATTATTGATTTAATAGATCAGTAGAACAGCTGGTATCTGAATAATACCTTATTTTGTAGAAAAATTGAACACTCTATTTCTGTGGGAGTAGGGTGGGGGAGGATTTCCTGCATAGTCTTTACATAATATCTATACCTTACTGTAGTGCTAACAGGTTTGTAATCAGTTTCTCACAGTATCAGTGTTGCAGCAAGCTGGTCAGTATAATCAGAACGTCTGAATGCCTTTGGCTGACCAATTTCTTTCATGAGTCTCCTATATCCTGAGACTTCAGATCTATTCCGCGCCGATACCGCTTTACAGACTTTTCTTTTAAAATGTAGAATTTGTAATACTGATATTCTAATTATTCTGATATTGATATTTCTGAATAAATAGAAATACTGAACTCTGAATATGCAAAGCTGAATATGAAAGAGAGATAAGGATGTGAAGATTAATAGCTCTTTCTATAAGCTTTGCTCTTGTTGCATTGTTCTGGAAATCTGTCTTATTCCTGTGAGTTGATTGAGGGTTGAATGTAACTTTTCTGTTGCAGATGAACCAACACGTTCCTTGAGTGGTCTCATCTTGAAGAATAATGTAAAAGCACATTTTCACAACTTTCCCAATGGGGTAACTGACTTCATTAAAAGTGAATGTCTGAATAACATTGGTGATTCCTCCCCCTTAATTAGAGCTACTGTAGGTAAGTTTGCTCTTAGTTTTGGCTTCTGCATACTGAAAATGTTACTGATCTGGGTGAGAGCTGCGTTAGTGATAAACTCATAAAACTGTTTTTTTTCTGGTAATTGTTACAACTTCACCATGTTTTAATGCTGATATTTATCTTTAGTGTGAATATTAAACAGTCACACTTACTTTTGCTTCCTGTTCTCTGGGAACTGATTTAGTGATGCAGTTCGTATCTCTTGAAATGTAACTTAACATAAGTTTATTTGAATCTACTAAAATGGAACTTGCTGCCAATTTCTGTACCTAAAAACAGGAAAAAGGTAGGGGTCTGACTTCAGAAATATTTCAGTACTCAACTTGCATCAATGAAATACTTCTGATAGCTGATTTCCTGCACCCTGCCCACCGTATTCACACACATGCACATCACTTCAGGGAATCGTCATACCATTCACATAATAAGTTTCTGTTTTTAAATACCTTCTGTCAGAAAACAGTAGATAAAGTGTGGTGTGCAGAACATTGTAGAATCATAGAATGGTTTGGATTGGAAGGGAACTTAAAGATAGCTAGTGTCAGCAAAACATCTTTTTGTCACATGAATTTCTAATTTCATAGATACTTTGTTTAAATACGCATATTTGCATTATCTTTACTTGCTTCTACGTAAAGATGCTTTTCTATCTGCTCTTTGAGAATTTTATTTCCTCCAGTTACTACAGTGATAGTAATTTTCTTTGTCCACTCAAAAAATGAGGAAAAAAGTATAATAAATATATACTTGAGTACAGTAGAGAAAATGGGGGTGAGTGTCAGTTCAGAAAGAAATTCAGCTTGTATCAGCTTGCTCCACTTCTAGAATAATGTAGCAGTTACTGCTCTCTTAGAATCCTTTCTTTTTTCTATACAACTCTTTCTCCAGACATCTGGGTTATGCACTGTGGGCTAGAGAAAAAAAATGCTTTTAGCTCATAGCTTTTTCCTGCTGTCTTGTCACTCGTGAAGCTGCTTTACTACAGATTTTATTAACTTCCAATTTTCTTAATTACAGTAGAAAGTCTTTAAATGACAGGTACCTGTGTGATTTCAGGTTGTAGAAGAGTCATGCTTGCTTGTTCATACATAAGTTGTCAGTGGAGTACAGTGGAGCTGACCGAAGAATATATTCCAGCTCCATCTGGATTGCTGTTTTAGGGCTGTTTGGTGGTGATGGTTTGTAGGATGGGTTTTTTTGAGGAAGTTGGGGTTTTTTGTTTTCAAGCATTTATTCTTTGATTTCTCCTAGTATGAAATGTTTGTGGGATTAGTAGCTTAATTACTGCTCAGCTTTAGGTGATCCTTGCAGGGATTTTTGAAGTATGTATGAATTCTGAAGATTAGTAGCAACTGATGAACTGTATGTTTACATAAGAGTTGCTATTTAGCACATGCTTTGCACCCACCTGTTGCAAGTAATTAAATGTTGGATCCTTGTAGCCTCCTGTCTTAATAGTGAGGATAGTCCAGTACCAATAGTCTCTTGGTACTAGGTAGGTGTAAATATATTACTCCCTGCCTAGGCTGCCTTGTTAGCCTTTGAGTTGGCATGTGCTAGTTAGAGCTACTCTTTGAGTTGCATATGGGATTTTGCAGTTCAAGCACTATCAATTAATGAGCCAACTGCAAGTAAGATCTCAGGAATTCTGAGAGGAAGATGAGCAAGTACATCAAAACAGCAAGAGAAGATTTAATGAAGTATTCGCTCTCCTTTGTAGTATAGCATCTAGAGTTAACCAGACAAAAGCTGATACCTTTTGGTCAAGATGGAGACAAGCTGATTAATCCCATCCTCAGAAGTCACCTCACTGAGAATGAGCATGGCAATAGAGTTGATTTTAGAACTGTGACTTGAGACCAAATGCTAACTACACATTGCTGTATCCTTATTTAGCTTTTCCCTATTTTAATCCCCAAATGAGTAACAGTGTGGAACTTCTCTGTGCTGTGTGGTACAGGTTTTAAAACCCCATGTGCTAATGTTGAAATATGGATTCAAGTTCAATAAAGATGACTGTGTGTGTTGAGGACCCACAGACTTGCCAGGAAATAAATGCATCTATTTAGGAAGTGCACATGACTGTTCTTAAAACTTCCTGGGGATTCTAGTCTGGGCAGGACCTTAGTGTAGCTGCTGCTTAAAAGCAAGCAGGGGAATAGTTTGACTGTTTAAGAGTAGTGGCTAATGATTCTCATATGGGGAGCAATTTTGCTATGAAGTTCAGCTTTGTAGAATTAGGGACTTCAGAAATCAACTTTAGAAGCTACAGGAGCAAAACACCACCCCAAAAATGCCAGCCTTCCCCCTGTCCAGTTTAAAGTACTGAAGAACAGCTACTTCTTCTTTATGTCCAAATTTTTTAATTGTAGAATTAATGCTGTAAACTGTGCTTACATGTAATTAAAACAGTGACATAAAAGATGCTGTCATGACAATCACTCTTATGTTTTTAACATTTTTTACATCCCTCTGTAGTTTATTCTCTTGTATATTTACTGCTCAATTATCCCAGCTGCTATGTTCATTAGATTTCACATTTGTCAAGTGAAATTTCAACAGATTCTGTAATACTGTTTTGAAGTTCATTATAAATCAAAAACTGTCTTTTTAAAGACTTTCAGTTTCAGATTTCTAACCGTGCAAGTTAGTATGTTGGTTGGAAGGAAAGGCCTGTTTTATCTGTAAGCTTTCACCAAAATTCTTCAAAAAGCTGCAAGCTACTAGATAGAAACACGGACATCAGAAAAATAATCAAAGTAAAGAAATAATCTGTGTCTGATGTTTCACAGAGAAAGCCACAAAGGCTAATCTCTGCTGTCTTCTGTTCCTTGCTGGCCAAATAAAGCAGCAGATGAGTGGGAAAAATTTCATATTCAAAAGGAGATGAAGCTCATCAGAAGCCCCTGAAGTTTCCTTTTAACGTGAACATAAGTGCCTAAAACATAATTTTATGTGGCTGGTTCCTCATTTTTCTTAAAACCTTTTGCAAATCTTCAAATGCTATAGCTGTTGCCTCTCTAAGTTTTTGATCATCTGATTTTACTCTTTTGTCCCCAGTGGAGTGTCCCTTTATCATTTCAAGAACACTAGCACAACCTTAAACGGCTTCTCCGCAGACCTGTACAAAAAGTTCCCAATGACTTGTATGGTCCGAACCACACACATCTGTGTTACAAGGGGCAGTGGACTCAGGTCACTCCTTGCTTATGTGTCTGAAAGTATTTTCTCCTAGGTGATCCTATTGCTATCTGCAGTAAGCCTTTTGAAGGGACGCTTAAACTAGTTTTCAAATAGTCTTTTCTTCAGCTGTGAATGCTCGCACATATTACAAGTATAACCAGACCATTTGTCATCTTCTGAAACCACTTCTAGGACCCTGAAAAGATCTTCAACCAGCTCTTTTCCAAAACTACCTACCCTTGTGAGACTTATTATATTGTGTTCATATTCATTAGCAGTAACTGTGAGGAGCATAATGGAGTATGCTACCTGTTTCTTTTTGTCTTGAATCGAAATAGACTCATACAAAGTCAGTCCTGTGTTATAAGCAGCCTTCCCTGTTCCTGTCACCTAATTAGTTTTTCCTGGGATTTCTTTATTCGATGGAAACTGCATTAGTGACTCTTTGGGCTGACCTATCAGTTTGCTGGATCTCAGTCAGCCACGCCCTACAGCTCATCACCGGATGACCTGCCATAGCGTATAAGCTTTTAGTAGGTATCTCTTAGAATGTGTCCTTAATGTTTTGTTTAAACACAGTAAGTTTACTTAAGTGAGTTGTAAGTTTATTGAATGACAGCTTCCCACATTCATGCTTCTGTATCATAATGAAGAAGAGGTGACTTGAGGTGGATCCTTTCTTTACTGGAGGTCAAGATTTGTACAATGGTTAGTAAATTTAGAGCCAAAGCTACCCTGCAGTGTTTAGGCATGATTATTTCCTTAACTGGAATACTTTGTGCTTGATTTCTCATGTCTGAGCCTTTCATGGTAGCATGAAGGAACAACCCACCTTTGCGTTTCAAAACTCTTCAGGTACCATTTGTCTTTTTATGCTTTCCAGTTCTTAACAAAACAAGACACTTCATAACTCCTTAGATCTTTGAGAGGAGAAAAATGAGAAAAATTGGTGTGAAGCATGTGAAGATATGTGAGATCTCATTTCCTTAATTCCTCTTGATTCCTTTAGGCATTTTGATAACAACCATTGCCTCGAAAGGGGAATTGCAGAATTGGCCTGAACTCTTACCAAAGCTTTGCAGCCTGTTGGATTCTGAAGATTACAATACCTGTGAGGTAAGGAGACTTACGGAAATTAGATTATCATCTAAATTTGTTTATTTTTATATCCCTTCGTAGACACTATGTATATCTGTAGTATTTCATGTGTGTGTATATATGTGCACATGTATTCTCATCAGAGCACAGTGGCTCGAATTTGATACTTTTTCTTCTACCTGCATTCCATGTTCATGCTGTTCGTTCAAACAAGTTTGTTTTCTTTGCATAAAAGCAGAATAAGACTGCAGATGGTTAGTCACAGCATTTCAGCTGGGAAGTGTCCTGATGTTACCACTGTGTGATGTCTAATCTTTTAGGCATCATCAGCATCTTCAAGCTGACACTGAATTTTCTCTTACTTAAAAGCAGCATTCATTTTTCTTGTAGCTTAATCTGGAAGAGTGTCATTGCTACATCAGGGTGGGATTAACTGTTTTGTTCAGTATGTATGAAGGAAAATAAATAAATATCAACTGTTTTAAACTATGAGGGCAAAATAAAACCTTGTCTGATTTAAAAAAGTAAATCTGTGATCACACAATTTTAGTTATTTGATGTTGTCTCTGTGAAAGTGTATAAAGCATTTTGTATAAAATAATCCTCAGAGACAGGATTTAATTGTCCAGGGTTCCATGCTGTTGTGTAGTGGTTTAGTGCTGCTTTCTCAAGAAAAAGGAAAAAACACTTGAAAATGAAACTCACATTGGCCATCATTCTGTTTTGCCCCATAACAAACCATGAAAGGAAATACAATTATACATGTAATTAAACTGGATACTTCTGCACCTGGACACTTATTTCTCAAATAAGAACTAGCTTTTAAGCATTTTTAAAAATATGATTGCATAGATAAGTATTGAATGCTAAAATTAGAATTACCACTTATCCACTGACTCACCCAGCTTGCGAGCTTAGAGATGCTGTTATAAAGTGCTTAAATAAAAAGGCTTTAAGGGTGTTTCGTTTTAATTCCATATTTAGTTAGCTACATTTACTGTGTTGTGCTGAATTTACCTGTTCTGTAAAAAACCTGAAATTTAACTTTCTTCAGAATGTGAAAGAGATCTTTAATTCTTTTTTTTAAACAGGGTGCTTTTGGCGCTCTTCAGAAGATATGTGAAGATTCAGCTGAAATATTAGATAGTGATGTATTGGACCGACCACTCAATATCATGATACCTAAGTTCTTGCAGTTCTTCAGGCACAGCAGTCCAAAAATAAGGTAGGTTTAGGTGTTGTACTACAGTTACCTGTTAGAATTTTTACATGAGCACCAATTTTGTTTTTTTTTTTTTTTCAAATGATCCTGGAGAGATCCACAGAGGTTCCATGCATAAGTAATTTTCGTGTTTATTTGCTTCGTTAATACAACAATCTCTCCTCTTTATATGTCTTCCAAATGTACAGTCAGCCCATGATTTTGAAAATCAAACTGTTGGAGCTCATGAACGTACGTAAATACCTGAAGGGAGGCAGCAAAAAAGACATGGCCATGTTCTTTCCAGTGGTCCCCAGTTACAGAACTATAGGCAGTGGGCACAAACTGAAACACAGAAGGTTCCCTCTAAACATCAGGAAACACTTTTTTACTGTGTGAGTGACCAAGCACTGGCACAGGTTGCCCACAGAGGTGATGGACTCTCTATCCTTGAAAATATTCAAAAGCCATCTGGACATGGTCCTGGACAATTGGCTCTAGGCTCCTCTGCCTGAGCAGAGGAGTTGGACCAGATGACCTCCCGGGATTCCTTCCAAGCATTCTGTGATACTCTGTGAAATGTTCTTTTTCTAATTCCTGTTCGAAAACTATATTGGAAGATTCTACAACTTGGAGGTGGCAATTCTTTATTGCCACAGATGGTGAGGAATTAGAGGAAGAGTATAACTTGGAATATATCATGATAGGATTTAAATAAGACGTAGAAACTCACCTGAAATAGATGCACACTAAGAAGAACAGGTAACAAAGCATGACTTTGCTTGTGTGGGAAGGCAAGTTTAATACTTCTGTGGAGCTGGGAGAAATGGAGAAAACCATGGTTTTTTCCTTACTGTATTGTACAGTCTTTCACTTTTTTTCCTATGTTGTGATGGTTGTATCTTTGATACTGTTAAACCACTCCACTTGCTGATCCTTAGCCTGGTTTTAGTACATTGTGCAGAAGTACAAAAACTATTAGTAGTGACAGTAAAATACTTTAAACCTTCAAGAGACAATTTAAAAAAAAAATGTTTTGAGACAATCTTCCAAGACATGTCTGAATAGAATGGAAGTTTGTAATAGTGTATTAGTAAATACACTTCAATGGATCTTCAAAGGCTTTTACAGGTAGTTTTGCCTTTGTGCTTTTACTTGTGGAATTTAATGTCTGTGTCCGAGAGTGAGAAAGACGTCCAAGTAATGGCTTTGCATGAAATGGCATAGAAGAACCAATACTTCCTATTTTATTATGTTTCTACCACAAGTGTTTTAGTATGTATCCTACTACAATGTATGTTTGTTCTAAGCTACAGCTATATTATTGATACATATTGGTCTCACTAAATACTAAAAGCACTGCAAAGGCAGTTGAATACTTAGCAACAAAGGGCATGCTAAAATTTCACTGTGTGTTCTTGTATGGAATTGTTAACATCTGAGATCAGTAATGATTGTATACTCACAATGAACACCCTTACATGCTGTTTGGAACAAATACACGAGGTGTAGTCATCCTGCTCAGTTTTTTATGTACTGAATACTTTATTTTAAAATATTTATATTAGATATATCAGAGTATAAGGTGGCACTTCAAATGTCACTTAGTATTAATAATACTATAGATGTGCAGATTTGTTCCCTCTTGCCTCTAGAAGATATTTGTACAATGTAATCTACTTTCTAATGTTTTTGATGCCTATGTACAGTTTAGAAAATTTTTTTAAGTTATGAAAAATGTGTATTTTAACTGTTCCATTTGTAGGTCTCATGCTGTTGCATGCGTCAATCAATTTATCATCAGCAGAACTCAAGCTCTTATGTTGCACATAGATTCTTTTATTGAGGTGAGTGTGCATTCTTGACTGGGAGGTTAAGTCAGATTACATATCTGATATACCAACAGTTCTTCTCCCAAACTTCCCATTTCTGGTTGCCCATTTTTAGTGTCAGTCCCCATGGACTGTAGTTCATTCTGTGTGCTTGTGCTCAGAGTGAATTAGTCTAAGTGTTCTTAAAGCCCCAAAAATTTGCTTCCTCTTTATAAGTAGAGGAAACTGTTGTTGCATAAAGGTGTAAAAGTACAGCAGCAGTCTATCGCTTACCTGTGATGGGAAGTGCAATGCAGCAATCATCATATCACTGGGTCTGCCTGGGTCTGTCTGAATACTGCTAATGAATGTGGATTAGAAGAGTTGTATTTGGGGTTAACTGGAGTATTTGATTTGCTGCTGTTATGTTCTGGCAGAGTTTTCTGGCTTCAGAACTTCATTTATTTTTAAGAGGAAAAAAACCCAAAACAAACAAATGAAACACAACAAAAAAACACCCAGAAAATACTGTTCTTGCACCAGTGGTAATATTGCACAGTGTTTTGATTATGTGTGCAATACACATTGAGAGTCTGAACATGTGCTAAACCATATGTCTTCAAGAAATAAAATGGTATTCTGAGATGTGGGGTCAGAGAGTACAGAGATACATACATATATACTTCGGTTTGCCAGTAATGTCAATTTAAATACAAATTAAACTAAATGTAATTGAGGCTTTTCAATTGGTATTACTTTCCAACAGAATCTTTTTGCACTGGCTGGTGATGAAGAACCTGAAGTACGCAAAAATGTTTGTCGTGCTCTGGTAATGTTGCTGGAAGTTCGAATGGATCGCCTGCTTCCTCATATGATTAGTATAGTTGAGGTGAGTCTCATTTTCCAGGTTGCATGCTGAAAAAACTGGTTTGGGTTGCAGAAATAGTAACAAATAAAAAACATTCATCAGAGCAAGTATGTTACTCTTGCACTTGCCTACTCTTCATTTTACTTCAAGTCTGAGATTGCAAAACTTTCTTCTTAGCTAATTGTCAACTTGACATTGTTTGACAGGCAATGCATGTAGCAGTTGTTTATTCTTCATTAAGTCAGTTAGTCCTGAAATGGCTGGGATCAGCTATACTTTAGAGTAGAACTCTAAGTGAGATCATGTTAAAAATATGGTGCTAGTGCTGATACTGCTACAGTTTATACATCAAAGCTGTCACTTTTTTCAGATGCATTGACCTTAACAAGGATAAGGTGTGTTATTTTATATAGCTGAGATGCTCTTTGAGCTATGAATGATGTTACCTCCCATTGCATTCAGCTGTAGAGGTTAATGTCATTTGATAGTGCGTTTGCCATTCTGGGTTACTGCAGACTTGTGTACCAGAGGACTACTCCGCTCTTTTTTTTTTTCTTCTCGGCTATTTGAGCTGTGAGTAATTTTTGTGTTTCTGGGAAATACTGGCAATTTCTAGGTAGCATTTACATATGCTACTTGCCAGACTGGAAGCAGAGTTAAAATTATAATGTTTCTCATGCAGGTTTCATGTGGACAGGTGGGTCATAACCCAGTGTCACATTCCATAAGGACTATGTTAAGGTGATAAGTTGTTTTTGTTTTTTTTTACTCCTGTACACAGGCATTAGAGATGCATAAAGCTGAGACCATCCTTGACAGCCTTGGCCTGCTGCCTAGTCTTCCTATATGTTGTCGGGAATTCCATGACACCAGTCTTGGCAGACACATTCTCATATAACAAGGATTGGTTGTACTTGAGGGTGGGGGAGAGTTGGTTATTTGGTGGAGATTTTTTTTTCTTTTTAAGGCAGAATAAAGCTTTGGAGATGATACTGTCAAGTAGTGATAACTTCTCTGGCTCTTTACCCTCCTAAGATCAGTAAGGAACTTCTGGGCTTTGTAGGCAGAAATAAGTGCTTGTTGTGGGAGGTGGACTAATGGCAACACTCTCTGTGGGAGGTGGAGTAACTGCAGAGCTCGCAGTGGGAGGTGGAGTGTCAGCGGAGCTTATTGTGATAGTCCACAGCATCTGTGTACCTGCGCTGCGTCTCTTAAAAGCTCTCGAGGTTTGTGTAGCCACGCTTACAGAACTCCCACTCAAGCTCCAGTATTTAATCTGACACTGC